TGCAAATGATGATAGTTCCTCAATCAAGAGATAAATAACGGTGATAATCGAAACTACTTTAATATAAGAAAAAATACATGAATTTCGGATTATGTATTCGGGACTTCGATCCCGATGTACAAGAACCCAATTCGGAAATTGGAAGGTTATAAAAGAAATTTGAAGAGACCTGACTTTTTTCGGTGGAATCTAATAAAGCTTGTTTTGATGAATTTTTTTGTGTGTGTATGTGTGTGGTTGTACGGGCGTGTGAGATATTATTGCTCTGGTACATGGGCGCGTGTTCCAGTGTTTTGAACGCTCGCTTCTTTTCATATATGTTTGGTTGGTGTTTACTTGGAATGTAACATCTTAAACTTGCCCAAGATGTATAATTTACCCATTTTCCAAAATAATTGTTGCACACCACCGGATGATCATGTGAGAAAGAAAAAATTATTTATAGTCGACCACCATTCAAAAGGAAATTATTGAAAAATGGTAAAGATCTATCAGTTAATATGGCATTGAGTTGTCTTTTTCCAGTTTGCCTCTGCAACAGACACCATTAGGAAGTGAGTACTTATATATATATATATATATATATATATATATATATATATATATATATATATATAAGGTACAGTTCAATTTACATTACATGAATCATCCATGCAAAAAACAGATATAGAACTTAATTATTTAAATGGCGAGAATACATCTTCGCAAACAATTTTAATAAAGTACACTAACCCCGAACCTGTATATGCATGATATGATCCCTGTTTATAAACTCCAGTTGCATAAGGTCTTTTTTTAGTTTTTACAAGCTTTCGTCTGTTCCTACAGACATCTTCAGGTATGGAAATAGATTTGTTTTTATTTTTTACTTCTCGATAATAACAGGACAAGGAAAGAATAGATGTAATCCGAAAAAATGCTTTTAGAAATGTGTTATTGTTAATTGTAAGATATTTTTTGGAACGTGCGGTCGCAATGCTGAGGTTGAATTTTAAAATTTTAAGATTGTGCGTTTTTGTACTAATATGGTAATAGGAGAATTCTTTTGTACTGATAGGTTTTATATTTTCGTTGTCCTGTTATATATATATCAGCAAAATTTTCGAGTACATATATAAGACTTACATTTCTTGAATAGGATAACTATGCATCGATTTACTGTGATGTCTTCCAGTAGCCTAATAGCAATTTTAATGGTGGATAATCCATTGTGAGGCTATGTTTCTGCTCTTTACCTGCAAACAGATCTCCGTGATCCTTTTGAAATAATCATCATCATTTTATGCGCGTATACAGGTGTCTAGATCTTGTTTCACTGTTGATAGCAGAAAGAGAAAATCGATGTCCATCTAAATAGAAATTGTGTCGCAATAAAATCACCGTGGAGAAGGCAACGGTTAAACCACAACACTATCGATCGAAATATCATTCGTTGTTATCGGCAATGTTATCAAAGATAATGATGAGAAAAATTTTGATAAATTACTTTGCACAACTGTTTGAGTTTCGCGGTAAGCTTGATTTATTTTGGGAAAGACATTTGAATAATCTAGAACTTATTCGGTGAGCAAATCGTCTGTATATGAATAGAGAATGAATTAAGTACATACAACAAAATAGAAAGAGCATAAGACAACAAGGTGTCTTCTCGCCGGACATTCAGCCTTTACTGTGAGGTGGTTCTGAGAGAATAAGACGTTTTACTAGAATTCATTAATAACGGCCAAAATCTTAAGAATATCAGATATGCAGATCACAGAGCAGACACGGAAAGTAAACTACAGGTCCATCAATTATAAGAAAACCGAATATATGATTGTCCGCAAAAGCAACACCCAAATTACAAAATAAGAATTAGAGAGACCAAAATCTAGCAAATACCAAAATGTAAATACCTCGGAAGTAGTTAAGCAGGGGACAGGAAAAACGACAACGAAATCCGAAGGTGGAATGAAGTAGCGAATTTTAAATTTAATTATAGAGTTAAATGAAAATTTCGAGCAATGTTTTATTTTCAATCGAATTTTCGAATAACAGATTTTGAAATTTATAATATATCTGTTTTTGAAACATGATAAATCCTGTATACGAGTGAAGCATATTTTTAAACTAGTAAATTTATATTTATGCTCTGCAGAATTGTATTGAGCACTCTTTTTAATAATTAATAACACAGGATTATAAATCTTATATATATATATATATATATATATATATATATATATATATATATATATATATATATATATATTCATTCACTTACGTGCTAATATCCTTGGGAAAGGTGTGAATCCTCTTCTTCTTCCCTTCTAGCAGGAAAGACTGGGTTCTATAGCCTTGGATGGCAACTGGTGTAGAAGGACAACTCTGAATTCAATATCTGCGGAGGGTCGTTTGGGGACCTTGTATCACGCAGTGCAGCAGGTCTCTGTATTCGGCCCTTCAAAATGTGTGGATTGTCCTGCACGAAACCTTCACCACTATAATCAAATCTCATGTGCTGTCGGTTTCCTAGAACTGATCTGCTTCACCCTCATACGTCGAATTCAAAGGAGAGTCTACTGTATATATATATATATATATATATATATATATATATATATATATATATAAATATATATATATATTTACAAATACATGAATTATTCACACAAAACTAATGCAAAAGGTTAATGATTTTAAATGGCGAGACATCCATCTCGCAAACAATTCAAATAGTACACAAAAACCTTAGATCCGTTATGAATGAATTGATCCTTGTTCATATAAATTTCTGCCGTATTAGTTGTTATTTTACACAAGCTTTCGTCTGTTCATACAGACATCTTCAGGTATATAATAGATGTTGTTCTTGTTTTTTTTCTTAGTAATAAGAGGACATCGAAAATATATATGTGTATGTATCCGAAATGCTATTGAAAATGAGATATTGGTTTTGAACGCGCCAATGCAACGCTGAGTTTGATTTTGAATTTCTTTTTTAAATGTTTGCGTTTATACCAAATATGGTAATGAACAAATTATTTTACTGGTAAATTTTACTGTCAAAGTGGCATGAACTATATTGTTCAATAATTACAGTAATGTCGCACTTATTAACCAAAAGACGCACATGGATCGGTTATTTAAATTACAATAAACGTGCAATCAATTTACAAATACATGAATTATTCACACAAAACTAATCAATTTGAATGATAATCAATTTGAAAACACGATTAAGAGACATCGAGAGAATGAAAGGGGGACAACTCACATCGGGTTACAAACCCAGGTTGTTTGTGTCTGTGTTTTCCTTTATATATGGGATTGGATTTCCTGCATTTTTCAGCCGATAAAACAAAAATTCACTTTTTTATTTTTGGCATGTAGTGTTTCTTATTCTCTTGCACACTTTTTTCTTTATTTTTAATATTCAGAATGCTTTAAAAATTCTATTTACAAGACAATTGTTTAGAATAAAATTCTATTCAATCGGGAGACTCATAACGATTGAAAACAATGTTTTTGTTTGAGTTTAGGTTTGACCAATTCGTAAAAAAAGAAAAAAAAACAAACTAAGACATGCGTGTCCGTCAACCTTAAACAATAATCTTTGTCAATTTTATTTTTCAGTCTTTATGATGGTGGATACTTGATCTATCTCTTAATGTTATATCCCCGGGCAACGCCGGGCTTTACTGCTAGTACTTAATAACAATAATAATGCATCCTAACAATAAAACATCCTGCAATAACCAGAAATATTAAAAAAAAAAAAAAACGGTGTCACCCCAAACTTTTACCTGAAGATTTCGAACAGCGTGGATCTCAGAGTTGTCCAATCAACGTAGAGTATTATGTATATTTTTCAACAATATATATATATATATATATATATATATATATATATAGAGAGAGAGAGAGAGAGAGATCGCGCATTGAGTGTTGGTGTTAAGAAAATAGTGTTCGATGTAATTTAACAGGGCTATTAAATATATATTAATAAAAATACACATTATTCCTCGTCGGTAGCACGAGTTTCATGCACAGCGCAAACTTCAGGTGCTTTGTAGAATCATTAATCAGCGCTTGCAGATATACATACACACACACACACACACACACATATATAT